TTGCTCAATTGCTTTTTGAACTCTGGGAAACAGAAAATGAACAAAAATTACCATTTTCTATGGCATCAAAAAATAACAATACTAACAATACAGTGACCAAAAGTTGTACAGGAGACTTCTCTTGTGTCCTAGTGGAAATGTGAAAATGGAGGCAAAGAGGTGGAGTCCACACGGGCTGTGCAGACCTGCCCAACTGTCCAGTGCATCTGAATGTCAGGCTCACTAGTACTGAAGGGTGTCAGTTCAGGAATTCAGTTCCTGAATTCCCTCAGGAATTCAGATCTAAGCCTCATGGAACTGGGAAGGCCCAGAAAGTAACGGGACACACCTGGCAGGCACTGAGCTTAAGAGGCTGCTTGTTCTAGGGGTTCAGGGTCCACAGCTACTCTCCATGCTCATATCCCTGGTGTCCTCTGGCCCTCAGTAGTTTTATTCATCCACTGAGCTTTTTTTTTTTTTTTTTTTTTTTTGAGACGGAGTTTCGCTCTTGTTAGCCAGGCTGGAGTGCAATGACGCGATCTCGGCTCACCGCAACCTCCGCCTCCCGGGTTCAGGCAATTCTCCTGCCTCAGCCTCCTGAGTAGCTGGGATTACAGGCACGCGCCACCACGCCCAGCTAATTTTTTGTATTTTTAGTAGAGACGGGGTTTCACCATGTTGACCAGGTTGGTCTCGATCTCTTGACCTCGTGATCCACCCATCTTGGCCTCCCAAAGTGCTGGGATTACAGGCTTGAGCCACCACACCCGGCCCCACTGAGCTTTATCTAACTCCCCTCAGTGGCCTCCTTGAACCCCAGACTGTGTCCAGATTGAGTCTCTATACTCCCTGCAAGACTTTACTGAGCTTTAAAATAGCTTAGGGTCTGCAAACGTTTTCTGTAAAAGGCAAGAGAGTGAATATTTTAGGGTTTGCAAGAGTTATGGTCTCTGTCACAACTATCGATTTTGACCTTATGGCACAGAAGCAGCCAAAGACGAGAGCTGTTTCAATAAAATTTCATTAAAATTGGCCAGGCACTGGCTCACGCCTGTAATCACAGCCATTTGGAAGGTTGAAGCAGGCAGATCATCTGAGCTCAGGAGCTGGAGACCAGCCTGGCCAACATGCTGAACACCATCTCTACTAAAAATACAAAAATTAGCCAGGCGTGGTGGTGGGCACCTGTAATCCCAGCTACTTGGGGGGCTCAGACAGGAGAATCACTTGAACCCGGAGGTGGAGGTTGTAGTGAGCTGAGATCGTGCCACTGCACTCCTGCCTGGACGACAAGAGCCAGACTCCATCTCAAAAACAAAAACAAAAAACTTCATGAAAACAGAAACTCAAATTTCATATAGTTTTCCCATGTTAAAATAATATCTTTCCATTTTTTTGTTTCAACCACTATAAAGCATAAAAACCACTCTTGGCCCACAGGCCATTCAAAAACAAGCAGCAGGCCCACCAGCTGCAGGTCTTGGGTTGTTAATCCCTGTCTTAGCTGGCCACCCTTCAATAGCAGAAGGCTGGGCTCGGCCTAGGAGGTTTCATGGAGGAATACCACGGATCTTGGGAACATCAATGGTCCCAAGTGCCGCTGGAAATAAGGCTTCAGAAAATGTAGTTTTTTTTTTTTTTTTTTTTTTTTGGAGACGGAGTTTCGCTCTTGTTACCCAGGATGGAGTGCAATGGCGCGATCTCGGCTCACCGCAACCTCTGCCTCCCGGGTTCAGGCAATTCTCCTGCCTCAGCCTCCTGAGTAGCTGGGATTACAGGCATGTGCCACCATGCCCAGCTAATTTTTTGTATTTTTAGTAGAGACAGGGTTTCACCATGTTGACCAGGACGGTCTCGATCTCTTGACCTCGTGATCCACCCGCCTCAGCCTCCCAAAGTGCTGGGATTACAGGCTTGAGCCACTGCGCCCGGCCAGAAGATGTAGTTTTAAGCCTGTCTTTTATAGCCTTCCTTTCTCTCACCCTTGAGGTCAGAACGTCTTACCAGGGGCGTTTGCTGCCCTCTGTGACCTAACCCCTGTCTGCAGGACTACTTTCAACTCCTTGTGCTTCCCTTTTGGGTTCCTGAGCTACGGTTCCTCTAATGGGGCTCTGTGCCTTTCCATGCTTTTCATGTCATGGCCAGTCTAGCCATGGTCCTAAGACTGCTCCCTTCCCCAGGCTGAGCTGAGGGCCTCTGCTGCTTCTCCCATCCTCCTATGGTTCATACTTGGCCTGCTGCAGTCCCCCATGGGCTGAGGGCTCCCAGTCCTAGGTATGAATCTCTGCATCCCCACGATCACCACACAGTGGAGATTAGTGAGTGTCAATGAGCGGAAAAGGATGGAGCTTCTGGACACAAGTAGGTAGTCTCCTGAAAGGCTTCCTGGAAGAGAAAGTGGAATTTCTTTTCTTTCTTTTTTTTTCTTTTCTTTTTTTTTTTGAGGCAGAATTTCGCTCTGTGGCCCAGGCTGGAGTGCAGTGGCGTGATCTTGGCTCACTGCAACTTCTGCCTCCTGGGTTCAAGTGATTCTTCTGCCTAAGCTTCCCGAGTAGCTGGGATTACAGGTACCCACCACCACATCTGGCTAATTTTTGTATTTGTAGTAGAGACGGGGTTTCACCCTATTGGCCAGGATGGTCTTGAACTCCTGACCTCGTGGTCCACCTGCTTCGTTCTCCCAAAGTGCTGGAATTATAGGCGTGAGCCACCACAACGGCATGGTCTTGGCTCACTGCAACCTCTGCCTCCTGGGTTCAAGCGATTTTCCTGCCTCAGCCTCCCATGTAGCTGGGGTTATAGGTGCCCACCACTACATCTAGCTAATTTTTGTATTTTTAGTCGAGACGAGGTTTCACCATGTTGGCCAGGCTGGTCTCAAACTCCTGACCTCAGGTCATCCACCCACCTCTCCCTCCCAAAGTGCTGAGATCACAGGCGTCAGGCACTGCGCCCAGCTGAGAAAGTGGAATTTATATGCTGGTATAAGATTTGAGATTTTCCAATTTAGAAAGTCTTCAGGAAGCCTCAGAGTCTTGACACTGAAAGGATCCAGCTCGGGAAGCCCATCCACAGGAGTGATTCCTGCTTTGGATTTAGGTCCTAGGAGTGAGATCACATCCCTGCTCCATTTGCGGAGCAGGAAGCGAGCTAGTGCAGCAAGGGCTCTGAGAAGAGGGACCCTGGCAGTCACTGAAGCCATTTTCCTGTTGATAGAATGTGCACACTGCCTTTCATCTGCTCACAGGACAGTGAGATTTCGTGAAGGCTCTGTAAACTGGGGAGCAGATTTTTAATGAGCTAGGCCCCTCTGCTTAGAAGGAGACGGCATGTTAAGGGATCACACTCCCTCCGGTTTGCGGTTTTGGTGAGGAACAGAGCCTCCAACGCCCCTTCTTATAGACTTCTCCCAGCCATAGGCTTTTTGCAGACCATAAATAAAGGGAGAAAGGATATAAAATCGGGGTGGTGACGGTGGGCACGGCGAAGTGGACAGTGGATGGGGACAATGGAGAGGAAAGCATGGGACCGCCTTTGTTTTTTGGTATTCAAAGCTTGTTAAGGAATGTAGATGGGTAACAACAGGGCTGGTGAGGGAGGACGATGTGGGTGGTCGTGGAGAAAACCCTTCCCAGGCATCTCAGGGGTGGGCCAGGAAGGGGAGTAGATGGACGTCTACAAGGCACAGAGCAGGGAGTGGCTATTCTCTCCTGGAGGGGCTGTGGGTCCAGCAGGCTGTCGGATGAGACCTTGGAAAGGCAAGGGCAGCTTGCCAACTGGAAGGCAGGCAAAAGGGCTGAGACAGGCCAGACATGGCGGTCCACTGCTCACTGGCCAGGGGCATGGCCTAGCGGCTCTGACATCAAGGCTGAAGGCAACAACTTGGCCAGTCGCTCTCTGGCCGGCGTCGTCACACGGCCTCCCAGAGCTCTGGCTGCCCTGCAGTGGTTCCTAAAGACTCCCCACCTTCCCATGTCCAAATAGCTGCAGGAGGGAAGTGGGCGGAAAAAAAGCAAACCAGGTTGAGAAAGGGCTTGACGTCCCTGCGTAGGCAGGGTGCATGTCCCCGTGCTCCGTGTACGCGGCGGCCGCAGGGCATGGAAGGGGTCCCTCCAGTAGCGACTCCGTTTCCAGCCTCAGTTGGCAGAAGTGGACGCCCGCAGAGGCGTCCCAGGTGCCCGGGTGTTGTGTGATTGACTGGGGGAAGAAGGGGTAGGCCGATCCCTTCCCAACGCTCCAGCCCATCCCCGAGGACCGGGCTAGTACGTCGGATGGGTCAGAGCCGGACGCCGGGCTGAGTGGCCGCAAAGACCCTGCTCCAGCCGGGCCACAGCCAGAGAGGCGGAGCTTCGCGGGGAGGGGGCGGGCAGGGGCCGGACCGCCGAGACAGGCCTGGAAACTGCTGGAAAGGCCGCAGTGCCGCCGCCGCCGCCGCGCCTTCCGCCGCGTGCCGGCAAAAAGTCCCCGCCAGACCCGGCCGGCGCCCTCTCTCAGCGCTGACTTACCCGCCGTCGCTAACCCTCCGCCCTTCCTGTGCTCCTGGGAGAGTCGGATCTGGGTCCCGAATTCCAATTCTTTCTACCGGGATGGGAAATGTGTGGGGCAGATTCTAGGAAGAAGATTGCGTCTGGGAGCGGCGGTCAGGGTGGTTAGCCGCCTCCGCTCTTTTTAGGTGTCCCCCCCAGCCCCACCCTTAGGGTGTGGGGACGCCTGCCCTACAGGTTTTCAGGGAGGACAGTGGGTTCCTCGCCCGTAGAAACACTGCTTTGTCAAATGAGCACTCCTCATCCTCGCTCTTGATCGGGTCATGTCTTAGACGTGCAGATATGGGGGCTGTGGTCACAAGCAAATGTGTGAGTGGACCCGCTGCTAGCGTTTTTCCCCGCCCCCTCCCTTATTTCAGACCATGACGTCAAGGTGGGCTGGTGGCGGCAGGTGCGGGGTTGACAAGCATACTCCTTTAAGGCGGAGGGATCCGGGGGAGGGCCGCTGTGCTGTGCTTCGCCTTATATAGGGCGACCTGGGGCGTGAAATAGCTCTCTCGAGTCACTCCGGCGCTGCTCTTGTGCTGCGTGTGTGCTGGACGGCCAGTCCTCTTTGCTCTCTAATACCTGTGAGCCTTATCAAGGTAAAGCTGAGGTCTCCGCCAGGCTTCTTTCCTTTTACCCCCCTTTGGTGTTGCTGTTTTGTTTTTTTATCTGTTTTAGGGAGCCCAGTTGTCCGGGTGGGCTGTGGATAACGCCCTGGATTTTTACAGGGTGAGGGTGGTAGTAGGTGAGGGCGCTTGAGTTTTGCTCAGTTTTCCCTTGTGTGCTTGGGCAGTGGGCTTTTTTCTCGTCGCGCCGTGGCGAGGTGGGCTGAGGGGCTGGGGGAGTGGGCGGCGGGCAGCTGCACGTGGTGGCCGCGCGGCCCAGGACGCTGCCATTCTTGCTTCTCCACTTCCGGACGCGGCTACAGGGCGCCGGAGGGGGACCGCACGGTGGCGGGGGTGCTCGCACGGGGTGACTCAGCACGGTCTTGCGGGTCTGGCCTCACCCATTTCTCTTAACGGCCGCGTCAAAAGCCTTGGGTGCTTTGTTTCTGTGAGGGTTCACGGTGAGGGAGAAGCGCTTTCAGCCTCCAGCTCCCATGTTTCCTCCTTCCAGATCTTTCTTGCAGTCCCCGTGGAGGAGGGGTGGGGAGGGGGCAGGCTCTGGAAGATTCTTGAGCTCCCTCCTCCGCCCCTCCTCGAGAGCTGAGATTGTTCTGGAAGCTTCTGGATTCTGGCGCCCCGCCCCGGTGCCCGGATGCTGGGGCGAAGGGAGGGTGCACGGCGGCGCCCCCTCCTCGCGTGGCCCCTGCCGACGCATGTCCAGCAGTGACGGGGCTCGGCCCGGTGGCTACGGCCACTTTCTTTCTTGTGTTGGGTTTGGTCCTGTACTGTTAATTCTGTGCTGTAAAGGGGTCGTGGTTGAGCTTTTGGTTTTTCGATTTTTTTGTCTGGTTTTTGTCTGGATTTAATTGCTTCTCGGGCTGGTGGCCTACGAATCTCAGATGATTCCTCTTTGTCGTGTGGGGCTGGAGTGCTGCCCCTTAGGCTGATTTTAGGAAGACACCTCAGGGGGACCGGTTTAAAGTTAGTGCCATTTTTATCTTAAACTAGTCACTTTGACCTCCCCCAAATAAAGAACCGTAGCTAGTGATTTTCACATTTAAATTTGCTTAAGGATTGCCAGGCATCTCTAGATACCTGGATTGGACCAGGATTATGAGTTTCTGCCATACTTCCAGGTGACGCTGAGCATGCTGACCACCACTCTTTAAGTGGCTGGGTTCTGTGACATTTGGTTGAAGAACATTGTAGCTTATTTTCTTTTTCCTTCTGAATTGGCTTCCCACTTAGTGTGTAGCCTGTGATCTCTTAGAGAATGCTTTTTCCATCTCTTGGGAAGGGATAGTAGTCAGCTTAAACCACCAGTCAACTCACGTACTAATGTCCTAACAACTGAGATGACTTTGAGGATTTTTAAATATGGGGCCTTCATAGTCTTTTGTAATTAATTACTATTTTTATTTTAGATGCCTGAGGAAGTACACCATGGAGAGGAGGAGGTGGAGACTTTTGCCTTTCAGGCAGAAATTGCCCAACTCATGTCTCTCATCATCAATACCTTCTATTCCAACAAGGAGATTTTCCTTCGGGAGTTGATCTCTAATGCTTCTGATGTAAGTACTCTGGTTTTCACATTTGATATATTTATTTTAACATTCTGGAAGAAGGGAAAGGAGTAGTTTGGCCTTTGTTGGGGACTACTGTTGAAGGGGTAAACCTGCAACTATTCCAAAAAGATTTGTCTTACTCTGTGGCCATTTTGAAGTTGAGAGGGACTATGTCCAGGATAAGTGGGCTAATGTAACTATGGTTCTAAAGCCCCAAGATAAGGGGCAATCAGACTGAGGCTGAAATACACCAAGATTTTCTTTGAAGATAAGGGCTTTAATAAAACAAAAGTGAGCGCAGTGGCTCACACCTGTAATCCCACTACTTTGGGAGGTGGATCATGACCAGCCTGGAGTTCAAGACCAGCTTGGCCAACGTGGTGAAACCCTGTCTTTACTAAAAATACAACAACAAAAAATTAGCTGGGCATGGTGGCAAGCACCTGTAATCCCAGCTACTTGGGAGGCTGAGGCAGGAGAATCACTTGAACCTGAACCCAGGAGGCAGAGGTTGCAGTAAGCTGAGATCGCGCCACTGCACTCCAGCTTGGGCAACAAGAGCCAAACTGTCTCAAAAAAAAAAAAAATTGGTCGAGCTGTTGGCTCCACACCTGTAATGCCAAGGCAGGAGAATCACTTGAGCCTAGGAGTTTGAGGACAACATAACAAGACCTTGTTTCTGCAAAAAATTAAATATTAGTTGGGCATGGTGGCATGTGCCTGTAGTCCCAGCTATGTGGGAGGATGGCTTGAGCCTGGGAAGTCAAGGCTACAATGAGTTGTGATCCTTAACATTGCACTGTAGCTTGGGCAACAGAGCCAGAGCCTGTCTTAAAGAGCAAGCCAAAGCAAATTCCTATTTGTATTTTCAGGCGTTGGACAAGATTCGCTATGAGAGCCTGACAGACCCTTCCAAGTTGGACAGTGGTAAAGAGCTGAAAATTGACATCATTCCCAACCCTCAGGAACGTACCTTGACTTTGGTAGACACAGGCATTGGCATGACCAAAGCAGATCTTATAAATAATTTGGGAACCATTGCTAAGTCTGGTACTAAAGCATTCATGGAGGCTCTTCAGGTATGTGCAGTTTTGTAGGCACACACCATTCATATTTGTCAGTGTTCTTTGGTTTGTTGCTTTTTAAAAACTTGTGTTTGACTTTAAATAACTTGTTGGCAGGCTGGTGCAGACATCTCCATGATTGGGCAATTTGGTGTTGGCTTTTATTCTGCCTACCTGGTGGCAGAGAAAGTGGTTGTGATCACAAAGCACAACGATGATGAACAGTATGCCTGGGAGTCTTCTGCTGGAGGTTCCTTCACTGTGCGTGCTGACCATGGTAAGCTCTCCCATTACAAGTTAGCTGGGTTGGTGTTTTCTGGGCTTGTGAAGTGGCAGAAATTTTTAGCATCCTGTTTGTAAAGCAGTTCAAATTATAGCAGTTCCGCTAAGAGATATGTTTTTTTGACTTGAAGTCTTAACTGCTTATATTTTCACCCTGTTACATGCTTGTGATTAACTCTTCTAGGTGAGCCCATTGGCAGGGGTACCAAAGTGATCCTCCACCTTAAAGAAGATCAGACAGAGTACTTAGAAGAAAGGCGGGTCAAAGAAGTGGTGAAGAAGCACTCTCAGTTCATAGGCTATCCTATCACCCTTTATGTGAGTGTGGACTTTTAAACATTTTACATTTAATGTGCAGGGTGTTTCCTGTTCTGGAGTCATCATGGTCCCTGGCTTTTGCTTTCCCTGTTAGTGGCTAACTTCTGTTTTTGTTACTTAGTTGGAGAAGGAACGAGAGAAGGAAATTAGTGATGATGAAGCAGAGGAAGAGAAAGGTGAGAAAGAGGAGGATGATAAAGAAGATGAAGAAAAGCCCAAGATTGAAGATGTGGGTTCAGATGAGGAGGATGATAGTGGTAAGGATAAGAAGAAGAAAACTAAGAAGATCAAAGAGAAATACATTGATCAGGAAGAACTAAACAAGACCAAGCCCATTTGGACTAGAAACCCTGATGACATCACTCAAGAGGAGTATGGAGAATTCTATAAAAGCCTCACCAATGACTGGGAAGACCACTTGGCAGTCAAGGTGAGAAGCCCTTGCGCATTGGTTCAGCATACAAATATGGAGATGAGTGAGTAGGTGGCGTTTTGGCAGGTAATAGGCACATGGAACTTGTCCACCTGATAAATGTTGAGCGCCATGTGATTTCATTGATTATCCTATCACAGTGAGGAGCCATCATCCTTCCTAATGACCTCACTTTCTCTTCTGATGGTAATCTTGGTAATGTCTATGGCAGCATTACACATCTAGGGTTCTGATCAGAAGGGAGTTTTTTTCTGTACACTGCTAGTGCCCCTCTAGATCATTGAGGGCATTAAGGCTCGGTTTTCTGTTGTGTGTGCTTTGTTCTTTACGCTTGGGGAGGATCATTGTTCCACTTTTAGATAATTTGTTGGCGCTAAAAGGCATTGTTTGGAAATGTACTATTACTTGCTCATGTTTGGATTCTTTCAGCACTTTTCTGTAGAAGGTCAGTTGGAATTCAGGGCATTGCTATTCATTCCTCGTCGGGCTCCCTTTGACCTTTTTGAGAACAAGAAGAAAAAGAACAACATCAAACTCTACGTCCGTCGTGTATTCATCATGGACAGCTGTGATGAGTTGATACCAGAGTATCTCAGTGAGTATCTCCTTGGCATAATTTAGTTGGGTGAAGTCTTAGGACAAGGTTTTCAGCATTCTGCAACTAGAAAGTCTTTTTCCTAGCTGTAATAGTTCTCTGCAGTACATAGTGTGAAGGTTCAGGGGGCAATAGAGCCTTCTGTTTGAATCTGGGTACCAGGTCTGGTCTAGCTGTTTTTACTGAGCTTTCTTACCTTGGTTGATGGCAGACTTTATCCGTGGTGTGGTTGACTCTGAGGATTTGCCTCTGAACATCTCCCGAGAAATGCTCCAGCAGAGCAAAATCTTGAAAGTCATTCGCAAAAACATTGTTAAGAAGTGCCTTGAGCTCTTCTCTGAGCTGGCGGAAGACAAGGAGAATTACAAGAAATTCTATGAGGCATTCTCTAAAAATCTCAAGGTAAGGAGGTACATGGTTATTCCCTTTACCACTTTCTTAGTAATTACGATAAATTCTTCCATTCTTGTAGAAGGTAAGGTTATTGTAGTTAAGTTGGATTTTTTTTTCTCTTCTCACTCCTCTAGCTTGGAATTCACGAGGATTCCACTAACCGACGCCGCCTGTCTGAGCTGCTGCGCTATCACACCTCCCAGTCTGGAGATGAGATGACATCTCTGTCAGAGTATGTTTCTCGCATGAAGGAGACACAGAAGTCCATCTATTACATCACTGGTACGTTGGTTCTGATCGAAGCCTTTTTGGAGGAGGAGGAGGGAGCATATTCAGGGCTACCTGGGAACTGGCAGTATAAGGCACTTTGGTCACTGAGTCTATTTAATAACCCTACAGGTGAGAGCAAAGAGCAGGTGGCCAACTCAGCTTTTGTGGAGCGAGTGCGGAAGCGGGGCTTCGAGGTGGTATATATGACTGAGCCCATTGACGAATACTGCGTGCAGCAGCTAAAGGAGTTTGATGGGAAGAGCCTGGTCTCAGTTACCAAGGAGGGTCTGGAGCTACCAGAGGATGAGGAGGAGAAGAAGAAAATGGAAGAGAGCAAGGCAAAGTTTGAGAACCTCTGCAAGCTCATGAAAGAAATCTTAGATAAGAAGGTTGAGAAGGTAAGCCATTCTGGGACTAGGATGTATTTTGTAACGTATCTTTGAGGTGGGCTTTGTGGTTTGAGGCAGGCTATTTTAATAAATTTGGCAAAGATTAGGCATTCCTTCAGTTAACTTCTGAGAGTAGATAAAAATACTATTTTTTTTTTAACTGGATCTCACCTCACTGCAAACTCGGGCTTCTGGGATTATAGGCATGTGTGCCACCACACCTGGCTAATTTTTTGTAGAGACAGGCTTTTGTTTTGCCATGTTGGCCAGGCTGGTCTCAAACCCAAGTTATCTGCCCATCTCCTCCTCCCAGTACTGGGATTACAGGCAGGACAGTTCCCATTTTCTCTCTTCTTTTGAGACGGAGTCTCACTCTGTTGCCCAGGCTGGAGTGCAATGGTGTGATCTCAGCTCACTGCAACCTCCGCCTTTCGGGTTCAAGCGATTTTCCTGCCTCAGCATCCTGAGTACCTAGGATTACAGACACGTGCCACCATACCCAGCTAATTTTTTGTAGTTTTAGTAGAGACAGGGTTTCACCATGTTGGTCCGGCTGGTCTCGAACTCCCGACCTCGTGATCTGCCCGCCTTGGCCTCCCAAAGTGCTAGGATTACAGGCATGAGCCACAGCGCCCAGCTCCATTTTCTCTTTCAAAGTGAAAAGGCTTTTGTGATTGTCCACAGGTGACAATCTCCAATAGGCTTGTGTCTTCACCCTGCTGCATTGTGACCAGCACCTATGGCTGGACAGCCAATATGGAGCGGATCATGAAAGCCCAGGCACTTCGGGACAACTCCACCATGGGCTACATGATGGCCAAAAAGCACCTGGAGATAAACCCTGACCATCCTATCGTGGAGACGCTGCGGCAGAAGGCTGAGGCAGACAAGAATGACAAGGCGGTTAAGGACCTTGTGGTGCTGCTGTTTGAAACCGCCCTGCTCTCTTCTGGCTTTTCCCTTGAGGATCCCCAGACCCACTCCAACCGCATCTACCGCATGATCAAGTTAGGTCTAGGTGAGTAGCTTTGGTATTTGTGTGGCAAGGAGTTTGTGCAACTAGTATGGATTTGATTTACTATTTGGTCAAGTCTCACATGGCTTTTTTTTCTTCAGGTATCGATGAAGATGAAGTGGCAGCAGAGGAACCCAGTGCTGCAGTTCCTGATGAGATCCCTCCTCTTGAGGGTGATGAGGATGCATCTCGCATGGAAGAAGTAGATTAGGAGTTTATAGTTGGAAAACTGCCCTTGTATAGCGTCCCCATGACTCCCCCTGCAGCCTTGAGTGCCCCTGTCCCACCTGGCTCCCCCTACTGATGTCTGGTGTTTTTCTGTCCTGTCCTTCGGTTGAAGGCAGGAAACAAGGGTGTTAAGCCCCCATTCTTTCCCTACTCTGACAGCAGGTTTGGATGTTGTGTATTGTGGTTTTTTATTTTGTTTGTTCATTTTGTTCTGAAATTAAAGTATGCAAAATAAAGAATATGCCGTTTTTATACAGTTCTGCTCTCCCTTGTAAGGTGAATATGTTGTCTTTCCCTAGCTTCTCTATCCCTTCCCCCACCCCAGCTCTTACCTTCCTGTTTTCATGAGCACAGCAAGTTGAGTTGGTTTTGTAGTTAGGGCTCATTGGTATTCTGTGTCTTAAAACACACTGAAACTAAAGGCAGTTTGGGTAAACTACTATGTAATAAGGCCCTTTCAGTCAACCAAAACACAGGACCAAGTCCATTGCAGTAATTTAATTTAATAAAATAAAATTAGAGCAAAAAGTTACATTTCTAAAGTACCAAAACCTGCAACAGGCTCATGGAGCAGAACCTAGGGATCCAGGAGCTGAAGGGGTGGCGGTGCTGGGCAGAGCTCTGCATCCCCTTTCCTCAGCACAGCACCATCTTCACCCTCCTGGGAAAGCAGCACTGGAGCCTACACCACTTTGTGCTTTTCTCACCAGGGTAAGAAACTGATGTCTATTGATGGGGGCAGTGGGAGGAGTCTAGAAGGTGGCAGAGTCACAGCTAGGGCAAGACTTACCAGAACTTGGAGAACTGTGGAAGCTCCCTATGCCCTCTTGACCCCAAACTCCCCAAAACCCCTCACTGAGGACTGTCTACCCTGGAGCTCAGAATAAACTGCTTGCTGGAAGATGGGTGACTTAAGGCAAAAGGGAAAGCTGCCTCCTGGGCTCCCCACCCCCTGCTGCAGAGCTGGTCTGTGATACTGAGAAAACACCTGCGTTTTGCCCTTGAGCCAGCTCCTCAGAGGTTACAGTAGAAGAGGGAAATGGGGATGGTGACGGGGTCCTATTTTACTTCACCCCTCAGGCCCTCCACCCTCAAACCTTCTGCACAGGGGACTCAACAGGCACGGCCTTCTTTCCCCGTTGCTTTAGGCGGCCCCGTGCATAGACTCTGAGCAGGAGGGCAGCAAACACCACAGCAACCCCCAGCCCTCCCACCACAGTGACAGTGTGGCCATAGAGAAGGCAGGAAAGAAGGATGGCAAAGGCCTGGCGGAGGGTCATGATGATGGTGAAGACAGCAGCCCCAAACTGCCCAATGGTGTAAAAGATGAACAGCTGGCCACATGCGGAGCAGATGGAGAGTAGCAAGGCATGGGCAGCAAACTCACTGTGTCGCCCCATGAAGCGGGTCCCCTCCAGGAGGGCCCCCTGTTCTAGCAGTGAGCCTACTGTGAAGAGGCAGGAGAAGAAATTGACCCCAAACATCATCTGCACCGATGACATCTTATAGGCAAACAGAGCATCCTGCCAGTTTGAGGTGAAGCTGTCAAAAGCAATATAGCCTGCCAGTAAGACAAGGCCTGAAAGTGTGGTGGCTGGGGAGCTGCGGGGCTCTGGTCCGCTGGATAGCAGAAACATGCTGACCCCAATGGAGATGAGGGTGGCTGTCAGGTATTCCCAGTGTTCGTAGCTGCGGCGAGACACAAGCTTTCCCATCAGCATGACAGGGATCACTTTAGAAGCCTTGGCCAGCACCTGGGTGGGGAAGCTGACGAACTTGAGAGCTTCGTATTGGCACCAGCTGCTAAGCACATTGGACAGGCTGGCAAAGGAGTACCGGTACATGGGTGCCCCATGCCGGGGCTGCTTGCAGAGGACGCAGGAGAGGCCAGCCACAATCAGTGCTAGCACTCGGTTCATTAGCACCAGGAACTGTGAGTCCGTAAAGCGCTCACCCGGTGATGTGGCTGTGGCCCCATAACTGCGGGTCATCACTCTTTCCTGCAGCACACCCCAAGTCAGATAAGACACCTGGTGGGGGAAGGTAGAGGCAGAGGAGACAGACAGTAAGCAAGAGGATGAAAAGGTAGACAAAAAGAGACCTCTCCCTCTTCTTCAGGATGATGCCTAGTGATTCAAAGGAAAATACACACTTTCGGGTTCCTCTGCAGGAGTTTCTTCTCCCCTCCTAAGTCTGGATTCACTTTGTAGGGAATCAACTGTGTGCGAAAAACCAATTCAGGGAGGCAAGAACTCTCAGGGAGAACTGGATACCTGTAGTTCAACATGACATTCAAGGTGCAACCAGTACTCACTGCAAAAATGCCTTGGGTCCACATCTTAGCACCCTCTCACATGCACTACCGGGGGAAGGCTGAAGGGCTCTCCCGCAATTTTATCAGTGAGTTCACAGTACGTGCAACAGCAGTACAGAAGTGTAACGGCAAGGTAGAAACGACAAAAGAGGGCAAGAGGAGGTCTCTCTTGTGCACTAGACATCTTGAAATAACAGCATGAACTTTCAGTACCAGTGCTGGAGAGGGGGAAGGGAGGAAAGAAAAGAGCATTTCCCCCAAACACCTCCAAGACGGAGGTGCAGTGTGCCCCTGGGAGGAGGACACGAAACACACCAACCAGCAAAGCTCTGGGGCTGGTAAGATGGAAACCTTCACAGAATTCCTGCCCACCGGGATCCAACCCAGGAAGAGAGGCTGAGCCCACCTACCCACCTGGAGCCCTGTGGCACAGAAGAGCAGCTTCAGGGCCTGCCACATCGGGGTGGTCTCTGCCGCCTCTGTTCGGGGCGCCAAGGGAACCTCATCAGAGGCCTTGGGCTCATTGCCAAACACACAAGCTTTCACCAGGGGGAAGCAGAGGCCCCTACCTGAAGAAAGCACACAAAGTCAAGCCCCAGATCTCCGTAGCACTACTTCCCCAGAGCAGCCAGCCTGCTCTGTTGTCCCGCCTACAGGCCGGGCTCCCTCTCTCCCTCTCCAAGTCCTATCCCGTTTGGACTGCTGGCCAACATCCTCCGTCCCGACTTGGCTCACTTCCCCGCCCTTTCTACACACACCTGTCTCCAGGTAATTCTTCCGCCTGAAGTACTGCACCAGGAGGTAGCCAGGTACCATGAAGCTGGCATAGCCAGCAGCATTCACCAAAAATCGGAAGAACCAGAGCTGGGTCCATGACTCCGGAGGGGCTTCGGGAGTCTCCCCACCTGCCCCTAAGGAGGGGAACGCAGCAAGCACCACCACTGCACACCACCTGTAGGGAAAGCGGACGTAAGGATTAGGGTGCAGTTCCTCAACCCCTCCGCCCTCCAGAGGGGACTACACTGGAGTAGGGCCCGCAGTCGCTTCCCCGCCCCCTCCGCTGCAGCCCGGCCGGGACAAAGAGCCTCTCTCTCTGGGGGCGGGGGCCGGCGCTGGCCAGGCAGGGCTTCCTCCCTCCCCGGCGGCGGATCCGCCCCTCCGGCCACACAGGTCTCCTCTGTTCCCTCCAGCGTTAGCCCGCTGCTCAGGCCAGAGGCGGCGCCCCTTCCCCCACCCTCCCTTCCACATTCCCGGGGCGTCAGGGTCCCCAGCCCCTCCGCCCGACGACACTCCCGAAGCTCCCCAAGAAGCACAAAACCAAGCCGCACCCCCATCCCCACTAGCTCCGGGCAGCGCTATGCTGGCCTACAGCCGGGTAGCCAGGACCCCACCCGGCCCCCCGTGCTGAGGTGCGGCAGTCACGTGGACCGGGGGCTCGGTCACGTGAGCTCGCCGCTGCCCTAGCCCCCAACCTGGCGTCCATGGTCCAGGCCGCGTAGGGTGGAGGGGCACCGGGGAATGCGAGTCCCCGGGCCGCGCGCCCCCTGCGCTCCCTCCGCTCCCGCCGCCGCCTCCGGGAGCGGCCAGCGAGCCAGCGGCCAGCGGAAGTGCCGTGCTCTTCCCGCCTCCCTCTCGGCGGCCCCCTCCGCCCCTGCCGCGACCACGCAGCGCCCCGGGCCGCCGCCGGGCCACAGCGCCCCCGCGCGGCCCGGAGGCAGACGCGGCTCGGGTTCCGGGGAGCTGGGCTGCCCCTGGGCGCGGGGAACCCTAGCCCTGGAGAGGCGCCACCTTGGCGCGTCCCCTGTGCTTCGTCATCGCCCTTGGCCTTCGTAAGCGTCCCAGAGGTCATGGTGACCATTGCCATCTTGTGGACCGGACATTGAGACTCTGCATCCCAAACCCCTCCTCTGTGTTACAGCTGTCCCGTTTTCTGAAAGGATGAAGGTGTCTCCTTCCTTTTTTGGCTGGGCAGTAATCTTGTCCCCCAACTTCTCATGACCTCTACATGGCCTTGCCCGCGTTCCCCGCCTACTCACCCACCCGCTGTGGCGTCCCACTGGCCTGCTCTCAGTTCTTCTAATTTACCCAAGGCTTTCCCCCAAATGCTCTGCCCTCATCCCTTTACTCATCCTTACATCCCAGTTGAGATGATACTCCTCAGGCGGGGGTTCCCGGGCCACCCAAAGCATGGCCTTCTCCCGACTCCATCCTTTTCCTTCCCACTATTCTTTCCCTTCACAGCACCTACTACAACTTGTAAGGACATCTTTATTTGGATGTTTACGCTTTGAACAGCTCTCTCTCTCCCTGGCTGAGAAGCTCCAAGTGGCCAGCGACTGTGCTGGTTTATTCCCCCACGCTCGTCACGCCAGCACAGGACCAACCTAGCTGGGCCCTGGAAGGTGAGGAATGGGAGGAAAAATGTGAAGTCACAGCTCCCTGGTGCCCAGCCACCCTGGGGCTACCCTTGTCCCCAGGCTCCGCCAGATGGCAGTGTCCAGGGCAGTGGGGAGGGCTCCAGGGCCCGTGTCTTCTCATTCTTCCTCCTCTCCCTCCATCCCTCATCATTTCCACAGCAAGGACAAGGGTCTATGCTGGACACAGAGAAAGGCCTGGGGACTACTGGCCTCTGACCCCACCCAGCAAGGCCCTACCGTGCTCAGGGGACAATTTCCTTCTCTCTGCCTCCACCACAAAGTCATAGGGCAGGCCTGTCTAAAAAGCCCCAATGCACACAGACATGCACGCACACAAAACACCTCTAGAAGGGAAAAACTTTTTTAACATCTCTGCCATTTTAGTGTCATGTTACTGAAACTTCCCTTCCCCAGTCACTCAGTTCAGAGCCTTCTCTGTGAAGTCTTTAAACAAGTGTTTCAGGGTCCTCAACAGCAGTAAGATAGGAGCCCCCTCAGAGTTCAGCTTGCTCCTATTTCCGTCTCTTCTCACTCAGGAGAGTCCATCATGTTTCCTACTGATTGACAGTTTCAGGCTGACCCAACATGGGTAGAAACAAGAGCACCTGCCATTTTCAAGAGAGGCAAACAGGCTTCACCCAGGATACCTGGGGCTTTGGGGGTCTTCCAAGAATCCCTGTCCATCTGGAAAGCTCCTCCTTCCAGACTGGCTCTCTCTCCCTTGCAGTCCTTCCTTCTCAGCTCAGGACTGTACTGGCTGGCCCCAGGCTCTGGCCATAGCAGTCCCTAGGGCACCAGCAGAGCACACGGCCTGGGCCCAAACTGCAGCAATGATGACTCCAGCTTCCAGATAGAAAGAGGTTGAGCCCCGAGGATCCCAGACCCTGCCTGGCTTCAGTCGGTACACAGCAGCAGTTTCCCTGAGATCTTCAGGTCATCAAAAGGCAAAAGGACAAGGGACTGAGAAGGAGAATGGAGAGAAGCAAGATCAGAGGACATGAGAAAAGGTGACTTGGGAAAGGGGACCCAGGGAAACCTGTTGGGCCACTCCCTCCCCACCAAATGACAGTTGAAGACCATCAGGGAACAGATCTTCATACGAATCCTCAAAGTAGTGGCCTCTCTGGGTTTGGCAGAGCCCTGAGGACATAGGTGAGCCTTCCTTTTCTAAGATAATGCCAGAATATCCGAGTTAGGAGGAACCTTAGAGATGATCCTGCCCATGGACCTGGGTTTTTTGTTGTTGTGGGGGTGGGGGAGGCTGGGTACTCGCAGAAAATTTTGGGTTTCTTTTTTACACTGAACATTTAAACATAGGAAAGACTATACAGAAAATCTGGATTTCACCTCTCAAAAAATTCCAAGACCAGGAAAAACTGGGCTTACACTCCTGCTCTGTAAGCCTTTGCTGAAGCTGAGTACAGAGACCCTCAGGGATGGTTCTCTGAGTTCCTATAGGCCTCACCACACCATGGTCTCACACCTGGCCAGCTTCACTGATTCACGTTAACTGCAGAGTCCCTGTAGGAGTCCAAATTTGGCTCCCTGATCCTGACCAACTAAGGAAACAGGCTCAAGTTCCCACAGTTCGTCAGCGGCAGAGTCCTGGTTATGCCCCATGACTCCTAGCTCTGTGGCCCTTTCAGCTAATGACAACACCTCTCTCTGCCATGGGTGTGTGAGGCCCTGGAGAGCAAAGCATATGCCTCTTACTTCCTCAGTCAGGTCCTGGGGTGTCTCATCCTCCACGTTCCGCAGCAGGGAGTCAGCACCCGCCTTGCACAGAGTGGATGAGATGCCCATGAGGCCCCGGCCAGCTGCCAGGTGCAGGGGTGTGCACCCATTCAGCATGCGGGCATCTACCTGGGCACCAGCCTGGAGCAGGAACTGTACCAGGCCCCGCTCTTGGGTTTCCACAGCCAGGTGCAGCGCTGTCTTCCCACTGGTGCCCTCCTGGGAAGGAATAAGGATATCAGCCAAGGCCCTCTGAGGCAGTGTGCTGGGCCCGGGCTCTGGATAAGGAGGTAAATGCTACCACTTCTGACCACTGGGCAGGGGACCTGGGGCTGGGTCAGGTGGGGCATAGGGTCAGGTGGGGGGCAGGCCCTGTGCCAGGCAGTGTGCTGACGGCTGCCTCACCTGCACATCAATGTCAGCTCCATTTTGAAGCAGCAGTTCCATGAGTGGTTGGTTCTTCTGCAGGGTGGCGATGTGGAGACAAGCCAGACCTGGGATGGGGTGAGGGTGAGGGCTGCTGATCTGCACCCACCAACTCCCTCTCTTCCGGGACCTCCCAGCCATTCAGCCCCAAGGGACTCACTGCCCACTCAATGTCTCTAATCACAAGACTGTTAAAATGCAAACCCCAAAACCCCCTCAAAACTTTAAGGGGAAAGGAACTCAAAGTTTCCACCTTTTCAGAGTCATGTTATTGAAACTTTCATGCTTCAGGAGTCAGGTTGCTGAGTGACATGCCAAAAAAACACCCTCCTCCTATACACACCACACACACACACACACACACACACACACACATACACACACACACACATAAACACACACACACATACACACACATACACACACATACACACACATATACACATACACACACACACATACACACACATACACACACACATACACACACATACACACACACATACACACACACACATACACACACACACACACACACACACACACACACACACACACAATACCTGCCTTCAAGCCCAGTCTGAAAGCCACCTTTTCTGAAAAGCCATCTAAGATCCTCATGCCCCCAGCCCTTTCTTAGGGGCCACTGCCTTCTGTGTGTTCCCCTGACCTTTTTGCTGTCTCCTTTCTGGTCTGGACACCTGGGCACTTCCTGATCCTTGCTTAGTAATAGAGATTTTGATTCAAATTTACATTCTTCACCTTCCTCAAGTCCCTATTCAGATGTCCCTGGCTCCATGAGGCCTTCCCTGACCACCCTATTTAACAATCACATCAACTCTCCTTCCCGTCACTGCTCTACTTTGCACTACAGCACTTACTTCCTTTTAACTTATTACATAGTTCACTTCTTGTATTTATTGCTCGTCTCAATCTTTCTCTGTTTTGCACACAGATGCAAACATAGTTCCTAGGATAATGTCTGGCACACAAAAAACCCTCGGTACATTTCTGTTGAATGAATGAATCGGGTCATCTGATCTCTGTTAAACTAAGTATCTTAAAAGCAATATTTGGTTTTCTGCTCAGCACACAGTAGGCACTGGGTAAATTCTAACTCAAATCATCCATTCATTCATATAGCAAAGATGTGCTGAATCTCTTATGTGCTTACATTGGGAGGGGCACCAATGGACAAGCTGGGACCCTCCCTTCCCCAAGAGTGGGATCTCTATCTCCTATGCCCTCGTCCTCCCACAGGCCCTAAGACTGTCCACACCTTGCCAGTTTTGCAGCTGGAGGTCCAGAGAGTGAGATGGTCCTCTGCCTGGCTCTGGCCGCCCCTCCAGCAGGCAGCGGGCACAGGCCAGGTGCTGGCGCTGGCAGGCCACATGCAGGGCTGTGTCACCATGCCGGTCCTGTAGTGCCCGGCTGGCCCCCTTCAGCACCAGTGCCCGAACTGCACCCGGTTGGTCCAGATGTACAGCCAGATGGAGTGCTGTCTGGAGGCACAAATAGAGGGTCATGGGGCCACTGCAGCATGCTCCCACCTCTGGGAACAAGCTTGGGCTCCAGAAGCACCAGCTGCCAGCATCTTCTTTGAAAGCCGCTTATAAAGGTCATAGCCTGGGCTTCCAAGGAAATACTACCAAGCTCTTCTCCTGTCAACCCCGAGTCCCACCAATCTCTTGGGACCCCAATTCTGGAAGCAAGGTGAAGAAAGTAGCTCTCAGCTTTTCTTGTAAGTCACCGTAGGCCCTGGAGAAAGGACATGTAGGGACAGAGTCTAGCCTCTCATCCTGTGGGGAGACTTCTGTTACCCCTAGGCGTTAGGCTGCAGGGGTTATGTTGGAGGAAAGTCAGAGGCACCAGGCAGTCTTTCCCTGGCAAACCTCTCTGCTAAGGCTCCATTCAGACGTCACCTCCTCTGTAAGCCTTCCCTGGCTGCTGCACACAGACGCTAGACCCCATAGCAGCTGGTATGTGTCTCTATCACAACTCTTGTCACCAGGCTGTGTATTTAGCTGTTGACATGAGTCCCTCAGCCCAGGCTGCAAGCACCTTAGGGAGAGGCCATGTCTTACTTGTGTTTGTCTCTTCAGCTTCTAGCTCAGTGTCTGGCATATGGTTTCCTGAGTGAGCAGCCTATGGACTAGTGTGGCTGCTGGGGATGGCTGTCAGGGCACAAACAGGTATCTGGGCACAACCCATTCTCGTCACCAACCTGGTAAAGGTTGTTTTGAATGTCCAGGACCTCCTGAGGCAGCAAAGCCAGGCAACAGAGCAGCACCGCTGGGGCCTCGTGAATCACTGCCAGGTGAACCAGCCTAGGGGAGCAGAGGCAGGGCTTAGAGTTAGGGCCCAGGCCACAGGGAAGGGTTGGGGTCTTGGGATTAGAAGGAACACATCAACTTTTAACTAGCTACCCATAGGGTAGGTCCAGGAAGTGAGAATGTGGGCCAGGAAGTGAGGGTTGGTGTGGGAAGCCAGGATCCTAGGGGTTGGAGCTCCAAGTTCCCACTGATGGCCTTCAGGAGGGCCTCGGCTGGGTGGGCATGTGGGCAGGGTGCTGACAGAACAAGGGCCTTCCTGTCTGGCCTGCCCACACCCACTCCTCTCTGCCCTCAGGGCTCTGCTGGGCCAGCTGCTGCTCACAGCCAAATTGAAAGCTGCCGAAGTAGTCCAGAGGGGGTTTCCAGGGCTGAGCACCTCAGCACAGAGGAAAGAAGGAGGCAGATGCAGGGTCACCCCGTACCCCCAAGCAACTCAATGCTATACATTCCAAAGGAGAGACACAGACACTCTTGGAAGAGGAGCAACGAGACAGAGCAGCATCCTGTCCTGCTGCCCTTCCCGGGGAGGCAAGAGCGCTTCTCAGATAGCACAGCCCAGGTCAGGCCTAACGGGGGCCCTCCATTCCTGTGTGCACCTCCAAGAGGAAGTCTTTGCAGTGCAGAAAATGTGTTTGTTGAGGGGACCAAGAACCTTAATCTAGGGGTAATGGGGTCAGTTGGGAGGGGAAGTTCCAGTCTTGGGGTTTCCCCACGTCAGGTGGGGAAAATGAAAGCCAGTGCTGAAGGGTCTAGGTCGGGACAGCTGCCTTGGGGCATTCGTGAGGACAGGAGCTTGGCTAAAAGGCCCATCTGGGCTGGGAGGGGGCTGCTTGGGCAGGAGGGTGGCAAGCCTTCGAGGCAGGCAGCAGGAGAGGCCCAGGAGAGTGACGGAGGGAGGGAGGAACCGCTCTGGAAATCCCCTCGGTCAGGGCCTGCTCTCTGGGTCACATTCTTGCAGCCACCTCCCTCTCTCCCCCAGTATCCCCTCCTCCCACTTCCTCTTCCCACTTCCATACCTTCTACAGCCCAGATACCTCCAATGGAGAAAAATGCCCCCTTCTCTCTGGGGACTGGCTGCGGAGCCTGGACGCTTCTCCCCTCCACACACACACCCAGTCTGGATAAAATACCTGCTTCTAACTAGAGATGGAAAAGGCTGGGGCTGAGAGACTAACTAAAGACAGCAGTGTCAAAAGTCCCCTCTCCTTGGATCAAACGTCATCAGAGGTATCTTGCATGCAGCCCCCAAAACCCTGGGGTTCTGGGCCTGAGGGCTGGTGATCCAGGCAGAGTACGAAAAGGACTGGGTCACTCCTCTCCCAGCCACTGGGTCCACCAGCTATCTTTATCAATGGTCACCCAGGATTAGGCCCCTGCACCTCCAAAAAGCAGGTTAGAACAGCCACCTCCTGCCTTCCCTTGTCCTATGTATTTGAGCACCCTTGATCAAGAATTCCAGCCCCCCCCCCCCACCAACTCTATTTATTCATCCCCAGATCCCAGCCTTCCCCTCCTCTGTCAATGTTTTCTTCTTGTGGGGGAGGGGGGGTGCTAAATCCTCAACTGGCCAACCCACCCCACACAGCTGCCTTTTACTTCAACTCTCCTCCGGCCCACTCCCACCAAACTCCACCTGGGTCTGGAGGAGGAAGGGTTAAATGAGGGAGTAAGGCACGACAGTTAGTGGGATCGGGGGGCCCTGGAGGTAGAGGATGTCAGGGATGCTGACTCTAGCCCTCACTTCCCCTTTCTTAGCAGAGGAGGAAGTAAGCTGGGGCAGCCAGCCTCCTGTCTGTCTGCTGGGGCAAGAGTGCCCCAGTCTGGCTCACCCCTCCTCCTGAGGACCAGCCCCAACCCTACACCCTGGTGGCACCCCCCCATGCCTAGCTTCCTGGCCCCCGACTGGCACCCTGTAACTGGCACCTGTTGGTCCTTGAGACAGAGCACTCTGAGGTTAGGAACTGGGAATCCCAGCTATTGTATTGAGCAAATAAGGATGTCCCCTTCCCCTGCAAGAAGAAACAAAAAAACTGGACTTGGTCAGGGGACTTTTCTCTTCCTAGGAGTGGATTACTGGTAGATTTCCAAGATGCTGGCTGTGGTCCCTGGGTAAGGGTCCTGCCAGCTCTGCCCACCCCGAAATGGGAGGACAGAGATGATGCCGGGTTTTCTGGTCTGGGCCTGCCTGGACCTCAAAAGTGGGCTGAGAGTTAAGTCTGGAGTTTGGAAGAGCGAATGGGGACTTGAAAGATCCTAAGCGGGGAGTGGGGGTGCCCGGCCTGTTGCGGCTCCTGGGCAGGCCCAGAGTTAGCATCCCGCTTCAGCCTAGCCCCCATACTCACGTGTCTCCGTCCTCGGAGATGTAAGTGAGCGCTTCCAGCTGCTGAGGGCTCAGCGCCCCCGCGTGGGGGAGTGGCGAGCGTGGGGCCGGGTCCTCAGCCTCGGGGCCCCCCAGCAAGGACAGGGTCTCGGTGAGCGAGGAGGAGCCATAGGTGGAGTCAGCCCGCTCCCCATCCGCGTCTTCCCTCTCCTGAGGTTCCTTGGCGGGCCCCGGAGGATGGGTGCAGGGCTGAGGGCCGCCGTCCGAGGGCCCGGAGGCTGCAGCCGAGGTGGGCTCGGGTAGGGAGCGCAGAGAGCGCAGGGACTCAATGCCAGAGTCGTACTGGCCCTCGTCCGCCTCGTCCGGCTCCTTCCGAGCCTCCGACATGCCCGCGGCGCCGGCCCGCAGGGGCCCAGTCCGAGCAGGATCCGGCTCCGGGCTCCGCCGCGCCGCCTTTCCGGGTTGCCGGTCCGCTTAGCAGAGCCGGCGCCCGGCCCGCGGCGGCCTCCTTCCCGGGCTGTGGGGCTCCGAGCGGCCGGCGCGCAGCGAGGACAAGGTTCGGAGCGCTGGCCGGGTCCACCCAACGGTTACTCTGGGCAGGCGGGCCGCCCAAGCAGGTTCTCCTCCTCGCCCCGCCCCTCCGGACCCGAGAGGTCTCAGATGGCCCCGCCCCGCCCCGCCCCCAGCCGGCGCTTCCGGAGAGAGACCCCGCCCCTCCGGAATCCCCCTTCCCCGCCTCTACGTAGGCTTGGAGTCTGTGGTTCCCGGGCCCTGACTCACTCCTTCGTTGATTCATTCACTCATTCATTCATTCATTCACTCTTTCCCCCTTCCTCTTTCACTCCATTCATTAGTTCCACGCATTTACTCTTTCCTTCTTTCACTTCTATTTCTTCATTCGTTTTATTTTGATTTTTTTTTTTTTTTTTTTTTTTTGGAGACGGAGTTTCGCTCTCGTTACCCAGGCTGGAGTGCAATGGCGCGATCTCGGCTCACCGCAACCTCCGCCTCCTGGGTTCAGGCAATTCTCCTGCCTCAGCCTCCTGAGTAGCTGGGATTACAGGCACACGCCACCATGCCCAGCTGATTTTTTGTATTTTTAGTAGAGACGGGGTTTCACCATGTCGACCAGGATGGTCTCGAACTCTCGACCTCGTGATCCACCCGCCTCGGCCTCCCAAAGTGCTGGGATTACAGGCTTGAGCCACCGCGCCCGGCTATTTTGATTTTTTTGAGACAAAGTCTCGCTCTGTTGCCCAGGCTGGAGTGCAGTGGTGCAATCTCGGCCCACTGCAACCTCCGCCTCCCGGGTTCGAGCGATTCTCCTGCCTCAGCCTCCTAGTAGCTGGGACTACAAGAAAAGATGAGAGGCCTCACCATGTTGCCCGGGCTGGTCTCAAACTCCTGGGTTCAAGCGATCTGCCTGCCTCGGCCTCCTAAAGTGCTGGGATTACAGGCTGTGAGCCACCAGGCCCAGACCATTAATTCGTTTTAAAGAAATATCTATTAATTGTCTGTATAAGCTGGCGTCTTTGGGGGTGGGCATGTGCACGGTGGGATGGGGAAGCAGTGCTTCCTATCCCCTGCCCATTTATCTCAATTTCTCTGGCTTTCTCATCTTTCCCTATCAGTGCCCAGGAGTATCGGTCAGGAAAGGGGACTCCCATCATCTTTAAAGGGCTGGTTCTCCTGGGTCCTGGAAGACAGTCTCCTGTGTCAGCTTTCCACATCACATGGAATCGGGCATGAAAATGTTTTTTTGGAAAGAGCGTCTTCTCAGGCAGACTGTTGTCTAAAAAGCAAAGCGGTTATGGGGTTTCTTCTTCCTCAAAGGGTGAAACCCTGGTCTTGGGTAGTTACAGTTTTTGGTCACCCCCAGCCGTCAAGGAAGTGGGGCCATGTTGGGGAGGCCCCGACATGCTGGGTTGCACTCTGCTCAGGTCCCCACCACTGCCCCAGTCTTAGTCCCAAAACATCTTTCCTCTTTCCCTGTCCCTGGGCCTAGGGAGGCCATAGGATAACCCCACCACAAGTTAGCCCTAAAACAGTGTCCCCTGATTTAGTCCCTCGTTCCTCCCCACTACTCCAAGTGCTACCAGCCTAGTGCCAGCAATGTTCTTAGAGGGTTATCCCCAAGGGAAGAGTTAGCTTTTCCATCTCCAGCATTGGGGAAAGGAAAGTGGATGAGGCTAGAAAGCAACGTTCTTCATGGGGGAGGCCAGCTTTCCCACTGCTCTCCCCCTGCAACCTTGTTTTATTCATCCGTCATTCATCCATTTGACAAACGTGTGAAACATCTCCTATAATGTCTGACATTGTTCTTTCTACTTGAAGCAAAACTGACTATCATAGTAACAGTAATAACCAATAAACCCCACCCCCACCCCCACCTACCGCCAACAACAACAAAAATCCCATGTTCCTAAAAAAGGTCTTTTGCAATTACAGCTCAGAGTGGTTGGGATAAGACAGGAGTGAGAACAGGGTGTTGTGGGGGCACACAGTGGGGCCGACTACTCAGTGGGGTGAGGGGCAAGGAAGGTTCCATTTGAACTGAGAGTGGGAAGGGAAGAGAGGTAGGGAGAAGAGAAGGACTTAGTCTCGGTGGGGAGGTGATTGGAGACAGAAGAGTTGGATGAGGGCTGAGGGGAGAAGACGGCCCACTGTTCTTCAACCCCATGGAGGACCAGAGTGGGAAGGATGTGATGAGCATGGAGACCATTGAGGAGCAGGAGAGGAAAGCCCAGGGAAATTAAGGATCTCCTTCCCTTGGGTCAGCATGATTTCAGATGCTCTCAACTTCCTCCCGTGACATGCTCCTCTCCAGTCCTCAAAGACTGCAGCAAAAGTGTAGTAATAAAACTCCAGACCTAGACCAATTGGGTTCAAAATCTGGCCAGGTGCAGTGGCTCACACCTGTAATCTCAGCACTTTGGGAGGCTGAGGTGGGTGAGGGCAGGAGTTCAAGACCGGCCTGGCCGACATGGTGAAATCCTGTCTCTAATAAAAATACAAAAATTAGCCAGGGCTGGTGGCACATGCCTGCAGTCTCAGCTACTTGGGAGGCTGAGGCAGGAGGATCATTTGAACCTGGGAGATGGAGGTTGCCATGAGTGAGCTGCGATTGCGCCACTGCACTCCAACCTGGACAACAGAGTGAGATTCAGTCTAAAAACAAAAACAAAAACCCACACAAAATCTGACACTATCACTCCCATTTTAATGTTTGGAAACTGAGGCCCCAAGAGGTGGGTTAACTTGCTCAAGGTAAAATAGAAAGTGCAAAGATAGCTTCTGACCTAATCCAAAATTTTATATATATTTTTAGTGAAACCTTCTTTTCTTTATCAAGGTGTAAACCACATAGGGTGGGAGTGTCTGAGCCCTCTGCAAGGACGTAAGAACTCAGGAGTGTGCAAGGACCTTCTTTTTATTCATACAGAGGCTGAATTTAAGGAAAAACCCACTCAACCCAGCCAGGTGTTTGGCCCTGAGGCATGACAGGTGTGTGGCAGTCCCTTTTACGGCCACATGAGGTCAGCATTGAGTCACCCACTGGCCCCTGGACCAGAGCTTGCACTCTTGACAGGTATCCTTTCCATCACTCCAGGAATGGGGAGAGGGACCATGGCAGTGTTCTCTGAAAGGGTGACCTGGGGACTTGGACTTAGGCCGCAGCATGGTTAGGGACCTGACCTCGCCTCCTCAGCTCCAGTCTTCCCTGAGGCTGGGCCCCTCCAGTCTTCCTCTCTGTTGTTTTCTGATTCCCTTTGTGCCCCCACTCCCCACCTCCACCCACCCCAGCTAGGCTTATCTTCAGGAAACAGGCCTGGTTTCCATGGTGACCAGCCGGTCAGCTGGCTCCTTCCACCACCCCCTCCCTTCACCCCCTGTTTCCTGTAGCTTCCAGGGAAGGGTACTGTGTATGAATGGAGAAGGCAGGGGTAGCCTTTTGTCTCTTGGGAGCTCTAGGGTTGGCCAAAAAGAGCTAAACTGTCCCTCATCCAAAGCCTCTGAAGTGGAGACAGGAAGGTGGGTGTCAAGAGGAAGATTGTGGTGCCTAAATGGGGAGCATGAGGAATCCTCTGTGGATTTGGAAAGGCCAAGGTTAGGGGCTCCGCTCTCTGTGGGCAGTGAGGACTGAATTGGGTGGAAGGGGCTGAAACTGGAACGAGAGGGGCTGGAGTTAGCTGTGAGGCCAAATTCCCAAAAAGCATGGGTGGGAGATGCTGGAATGAGCCACCAAGTGAGATTCTGCCTCTACCAAGGGAGTGAACAAGACCCTTCCTTTCCCTTCTTCTGGGCAGGGAGAATGGACCCACCAACCTGGAGAGGGCCGCATAGGTAGCTCTAAGCAACAGGTGGACAGAGAGCCACCTTCACCTCTCCTGGAAAGGGAAGAGTAGTTAAATGAAGGCAAGGCCAGGAGTGGGACTAGAGAGGTGGAAGCAGTGGCTCTCCTGTCCCCAGTAAGGGCAAGGAACATCCTGGGCAGATCAGTGGCCTTGTACACTATCCCCCAAAAGCAGACATCAAGGCTTTGCCTCAAACTAACTTCCTACCCGCAAATATTCCCCATTGACTTTTGAATGGGAAAGATACTAATTCTAGGACTAGCTCTGTGAGTGCTAGCAGGTGACCTCGAGTAAGCCACTCACTCTCCCTCTGCCTTAGTTCCTTGTGAGTAAATGGGGAGAACAGTTACTGTAAGTCAAAGACCCCAATGACACATAGTAGGATTCCACAGTGACTGTGCATGCACAAGATTGATCATGCATTGCTTTTATTACATTCTTCCTAATGGTTGGTTTTCATGTTCTTTTCTCCCCATTAGACTTTGTGCTCCTTGAGGGCAGGAAACTGTTTCATTTCTGCACTGGGCACACAATAAGTACCCAACACCTATTTATTGAATGGAGACATCCAGGAATGAGTGAATGAATGGATGGACGGAGGGATGTTAGGGTCCTTCCTGCTGTGCCAGGGGATGCAGGGAAAAGCAGTGTGGGGTAGATGGCCTGAAGGGATCAGCTGCCTGCAGTAGCTCAGCCTGGTCTGTGGTCTGTGACTTTGCTTCCTACACCCATAGGTCAGAGCCTTAGAGATTCCAGTCAACTTCCTCATTGCACAGATGAAGAAATTAAGGCTCAGAGAGAGGAAGGAACTTGCCCAAGGTCACATAACTCCTTGATGGCAGAGACAGGATTGAGAATTAGAATACAGTTTCCTGAGTTCTTCAGCCTAGGGCACTGCACACACTTCACTGCCTCTTTGAAGCTGTTCTTTTAGGGAAGGAAGATGGTTCAGTGAAGGCTGGTTCCAATGTCCTATCCTCTGCCCTCTGTTAGTCCTTTCTCACATCTAGCTTCAATCTCTTCCCTTTCACCCTATTCCATCCCCCTCCAAGCTAGCTTCTGCCTTAACCCTTTACCACGCAACTGGGAGTAAGGACGTTCCCTCCGGTTCCAAGAATCAATTGATTCTCTCCACTCCTGAGCCCCAGAAACTTGCAGGAACTAGGGATGTGTGTGTGTGTGTGGGGGGGTGCTGTTGGTTGAACCTCGAGCACCCCGTCCACGAAGGATAGATGGAGAGGGGTTGCGGCATAGATTCTCTCAGGATGGGAGCGCGGGAGGGAGGTGCAGTGCGCAGGGTTGCGAGTGGGGAAGGGGTGTGGGGAGCCCCTGTTGCTTTACCTCTTCAGGGGGGTGGTTATTAGGTAGGCTTGGAAAGGCGGAGTTTGGGGGGCTGGGGGCGGGGCTCGGCTGCGCTGGGAGGAAGGGGGGGGCGCGCTGG